TAACATCAACAATTTCATCTCTAAATTCAGGAATATTTTCTAAAATCCATTGCAACGCCTCTAACAGATTGTGATAAATAATATATCCAAGAATATTTAGTTCTTTATATCTAATTGAGGTATCTCTGTAATTGTAAGAGTTATATAAGATACATTTTATAGCAGCTATATTTAATTGATGCATTGCAAATTGAAGTGCATTATAATTTTTACAAACTTCGACTACACTATTTTTAAATTCAGAAATGTTTATTAAAATCCATTCCAATAATTCTACTTGGTTATGATAAATAACATGCCCAAGAACATTCTGTTCTAAATTATTTTTTATTTTTGCATCCTGGTACACCTGAGCTTTCTTCAAAAGATATTTTATAACTACTGGATTATTGATATTCATTGCAAATTCAAGCGCATTTTGATTTTCACAAACTTCAATTATCTCAGTTATAAATTTAGGAATATTGTCCAAAATCCATTCTAACAAATCTAATTCATTATTGTATATAACATAGCCAAGAATATTCAATCCACTACTATTCTTAATAGTTGTATTATCTCTATAAGGAGTAACATTTTTTAAAAGACATTTTACGCATCGGGATTATTGATATCCATAGCAAATTGAAGAGCATTCCATTCCCCAGAAACTACTGTTGTGTTATTAATAAATTCAGGAATATTGTCTAGAATCCATTGTAACATCTCTAAATTATTAAATTGTATAACATGGCATAGAATATTAAATCCAAAAATATCTTTAATTGTTATACTCCTATATACAAAAGTCTTTTCCAAAAGGTGTTTTGCAGCTTCAAAATTATTAAGATTCATGGCAAATTGAAAAGCATTCCACCCATCACAAACTTCAACGATTTCATTTTTTAATTCAGGAATATTATCTAAAACCCATTTCAATATTTCTAAATGATTATTAAAAATAATTTGACCAAGGAAATTGAATCCCTTGTTATTTTTTATCGGAATATATTTACTTGCTGGAGCTTTCTTTAAAATACATTTCATTTCTTCCCATTTGTTATTAATAATTGTATATTCAAGAGCATATTGGATTTAAAAACCTTAACTATTCCATATTCGAATTCAGGAATATGTTCCAAAATCCATTCTAATGTTTCTATTTGATTGTCATATATCATCTGGCCAAGAACATTAAAACCCTTACTGTTTTTAATAGAGATGTCTCTATATGCCGATTTACTTTTCTTTAAAAGGCATTTAATAGCTTCAGTATTATTTATTTCCATAGCAAACTGAAGAGCATTCCAACCTTCACAAACTTCGACTAAATTGCTAGTAAATTCAGGAATATTGTCTAAAATCCATTGTAAAGCTTTTAAATTATTAATTTGTATAACATATCCAAGAACGTTTAGTCC